GTATTCATTTGACAGTTCAAAACGTACGCTATATTCTGTCAAACGACTTGTTAGACAGGTTTTATCGTACGTTTTGAACTGTCAAATCTGGTCAGTAGTTTTTAGAGTTCATCGCGGATAGACAGAGACGCGGCGAAGGAGTTTGTTTTACAATTGCTATTGATTCTTCACTATTCGTCTCTACAATTTTTACATCTTTTCTCTTCTATAATCCTAGTACTAGTCCTCTATCTGACCACATAATGTGCAGTATTTATCATGACGTAGTAACTTACTATCTCTACAATCTTCAGTCACTCTTTAGTTACAGTCTCCAAAGTTACACTACTTATTTGAAATGTCATCATTAATTACATCAAAGGCTTCTATTTCACCAATAACAATCGGCTTTCCCAAGTCAAGAAGCTATCGGCCGATTTTAGATATAATTCATTAGATCACAATCGCGCAACTAAGTTGTTTACACTCTACCGAATACAATGCACAAGTCGTCTAATGATTGTAGATCTTAAAGATACGATGCGATAGAAAAATGATAGTTTTAATTGGAATGTCTTCAAAATTAAGACAAGTTACTACATTACACTGATATTATTAAGAGAAAAGATTTGATTGTTTGTTTTTATTGAAAAAGCTTTGAAACTACTGAACCGATTTGAAAAATTCTTCGCTCACGAGTTAATGCAATGTCGCATCACCGCGCCGTCCCACGTCAAATTCAAATTTCAAATTCAAATTCTTTATTGCTCCAATGTTGGTATATAAAAGTCAACTTTAATAACGTCTTATTCTCTCATAATATAATACAAAATAACGTTCCTTCATTTAAAATTGCATATAATTTGGGTACCTAAATAAATAAATTATTCAGTGGTAGTACATTAATATTTGAGTCAAATTGACTGAATTTGACAGTAAAATGGCCGGTCATTTATCAAAAAAATCAAAATCAAAAATATTTATTCAGTTTAGACCACAAGTGGCACTTATGAACGTCAATAGAAAATAATTTATGGTTTTTGACCATCGTGACCGGCCAGATTCAGTCAATTTACATCTCTCACGAGCATGACTGAAATGACGTAAAATTACAATTAAACATACGTTTATTTCTGTCCTTACTAAACTAGAATCAATATACGGTACGGCTAATTGCTCTCCGAACATACCCCCTAATTGGAATGTTCGCATCGTTAAATAGGACGAAGTCATGCGCGCGAGTCGATCTGCACGACATACTTTATTATGCAACGAATAAGTGTGCAGTGTGCTTTTGTAACTTTTTTACTTTAGATATTGCGAGGGAATATAGAGATTTATAGCTCCTGAAAAACAGTTTGCACTATTTTAGGAGCACGAAGTCACACGATGCTTGCATAAGTGAAGCAGCAAATTTAACGCACAGCGTTGAATAGAGCTCTGTGATTTGTTCGTGTGTCACCCTGTGCGTCCACGCGCACGGTGAGACCTCATAGTAATGTTTGTGAATACGGGCGTCAATAGAGATATTTCTTCTTGTCGTGTCGACAACAAACCTACACAGCGTCAGCCCAAAACTCCGCCACAAGAGTGGCGTTGACAGTACCCTTCATTTGTTGTCAGTACCCTTCATTTAAATCTTCCTGCGTGCAGTTGTTTGGGCACGCAGGGCACGATATTTCTGATTTCTGTATTAAAAGAATTTCCTAAATTCCAACTACATTCTAAAAGAAACCTTCAGCTTATTAAGTCCCATTTAGAATTCCGTTACTAGCAAGACTCGTAGCAACACCTATCACTTAACTTTTTATTGCGTTTGGCAATCCCGAACACAAATCCGACACTTGAGCAACGTTCTGTGGCGCTAAACTGTATTTAACCGTAGTTAAACTGACAGTGTTCGCGTGATATTTATTATTCTTTTGTTTTGTTTTCTTGTTCGGCGTGCGACAGGCTAGAACAAAACGAGGGGCAATCTTTGCATACAATGCACTTATGCGATATATTGGACGGTCAGCATAATACTTAGGAAATGTCTTAATGCTGCTTCGTTGTAGGTGGGTCATTATTACATAATTAGATTAAACACAGAGCAAATGTACATTCATATTCCTACATCATTCGTGTGATATCACGCACATTACCTATAATATTATAGTTCCTCTTTTCTACTCTAAGTTTTTAAATATAGGTATTAATATCGTTTAGGTAGAAGCATACTGGATCGGTGGCGCTATCTGCCGGCGTGAACTCGGAATAAAACACTGGCATAGTTTCATAAATGCAAATTTTAAGAAACTTAAACCCGCTTTAAGGCCATTTGCTTGAACGATTTCAATTAATCAACTCGTAGTTTTGTCCTTTTTGGCGGAGTGAAATCTCACTTTAGAAAAGTCTCAGTTGCCACCACTAATAAAAAGTTGCGGGGTGAGTTTCTTTCGCCACTTCTTCTCAGCACCAGCCCATATGTTATCCCGAAGTGGTGGTAGGACGAGCTATATTTGGGACGTGTGGTCACTGATGAGGTCGTGATCCTCATCAGTGAGGGGCCAAGGAAGAAGAAGAAGAATAAGTTCCCTGGAAAGGGGTACTGAATAATTTATTTGAAAAACCTTCTCCAAAAATTGGACACTTTTTAAACTTTTTTAACGAAGTGCCTTTATTTTGGTGTCGCTACATGCGCGCGCGCTTGCGCCACGTCAACAATCGCTCGATAGTGCAAGGCCGGCAGTCGCGCTCAGGATCAATGCTTGCTGCATTGCATTTTGCTGCTTATTTCAAGGACCTGTAGGTTTGGTTGCCGAGCTGACCAAGGACGACTTCAGTGGCAAGTTGACCAGTACTTCTAGTGACAAGACTGATTTAAATAGTTTATTAATCATTAACGCATCGGCTGTGACCTATAGTATAAGAGCTAGAGCCTTTCGACTTTCAGGTTCAATTTTCAGAGGTCCTGAAGGTGCCCCCATACTCTTTATTTTATGTAGGTACTAGCTTTTGCCCACGGCTTCACCCGCGTGAAATTTATTTTGTCACATATCGATAATACTTTTTTTAAGTCTGGTAATTTATTACCAGATAATTAACAATAATACTGTAAGTTTCAACAAAATCCGTTCAGTATTTTTTGCGTGAAAGAGTAACAAACATCCACACAAAACTTTCGCATTTATAATATTAGTAGGATATTAGGATCTAAGTAACTGTTCACAGCAAATCCGATTTAGCCATGACCGTTCCATCACGCACACAGGCTATCATACTATTATGTAGTATCGTGTATGCTGACAGCTATCACCTTTTTCTGGGGGACCTCCAAATTGAGAGGATCTACAACTCTCTACCACTTGGTTGGTACAGTCTACTTCCATTAGGTATCTTTCCTGGTGCAGAAACTATTTGAATACTAGCTGGATTTACCATGAGATATTTCAAGTAGCTATGCAAATATACAAGGTCAAACAAAGCTTCTCGGCTTTCAGTACCAACTCAATGTCACACTGTGCCCTTACTTGTAGTTGTCTGATAAATATGTATGTTACACGATGTGGCACTTTAGGGTGTTACACCTCATGTCAACAAGCGATTTGACCCGAATTTGTCACATTGTTTAAAAAGTTGTCAGACAAAAACAAAAAACAACAAAGCCACCTAATGTAAAGAATCTATGACCCAATAATGGTTCATCTCTGGAAAATTACAAAACTTAATAAGTCAGAAACAATGGTTTTCGAAATGGCACGCGTGGTTGGACAGACAGCTTTTACATTGTCGGTTTTTTTAAGATTCCTTACGAGAATTCTTGCACGAAAAGAAAACATTTGGTAACCTGCAGAAATCAGAATACACAACATTGTAATGGAAAACATTTTGGACCAAAAACCAACCTTTACAAACTGAAACAAATTAGCGTTCTTTGTAACCGCAAAACTTTACTATTTGATGCGGTTTCTAAGTCCAACGCAATTTACAATTATAGTGTAATTTTTATGTGGGGAACAGAAACGGGGTGTCAACACGACAAGTTTTGTTATTAATCAACTTTGGAAAGATGGGATACGTCAGTCAAAGGACGTCACTTATATAAATTCTTCCCGAATGTACGCGAACGTCTAACTAGGCGATGGTTAGAAATCGACCATTGCTCGTCGCAGTTCCTCACGGGACATGGCAACTTTAAACATAAACTTCACGAATTCAAACTAGTTCCGTCTCCTTTTTGCGAGTGTTCCACTGATGATGTCAGTCATGAGCAGTCTGCCCATCATATCTTGAGGGAGTGTGATCTTTGGAAACATGAACGTGATATAATGCTTAATTCAATACAACATACATCTGTTTCCGCAATTTATTACACCGATCTTGTCGCGACAAGGAAAAATTTCCGTGCTTTTAAGCGATTTTGTGAAAAATATTATTGGCAGGGGTGCATAATCTTTTTCTTAAAGGTTTTAAGCCTTTGTTTGTCACATGTCATCCGTTTTGCAATGGAGGGAAGTCGAACCTTAATTTCGAACTCCTCCTATGTTCTTCTGATTAATTTCGTTGCGGGTCCAATGACAGTTTAACTTTCCCCCGGGACAAACTTGACCTTCATTGGTTGGGTTTTTGTGGCGGTCAAGCTGTAGATCCTGGCTACACAGGAGTTGCAGTGGTGGGAACGAGAGGTGGGAATAGTCCCTTAATCAACTTTGGAGTAGCTCTAACTAAGGCTGAGTTGCACCATGTTACTTTTACTTTGACAAACGTCAAAAATGTGCCAAACTCCATACAAAAGCATCGGTTATTGCTATTTATTGTATCGGTTAAAATAAGGTGGTGCAACTCACCCTAAGTTCAGGCTGTAAGTTCTGGCTACACAAAAGTTGCAACAGTATGAACGAGAGATGGGAATTGGGAATATTCCCATCCTATACCTATCAGAAAACAATGATAAGGACGTAACAAATATCTCTTCTCTCTTTCTTATCCAGCTCGCCTCAATTTCCATTCATCTAACAACAACTTATGTATCTTTCCAGATGTGGCTCTCATCACTGGTCGCGTGCACGCTGGTTGCCATGGCAACGGCAGCAGGAGAGGAGTACCTACCCCCCAACAAAGGGTACAACTATCCCACTCCCGTCATACCCTTCCCGACTGACGTGAACGGGAATAAGGTAAGTTTTTAATACAAGCTCTACATTTATCCGAATTTATGTCCACGAAGACTGATAAAAAAAATGTGACAGACCAGGGAAATTCAAGCAGCCGTTTTAATAAAAAATACATAATAAGGATTAAAAGCACATAAAATTTTTACAATTATTCCAAAATAAATGGAATTTGGATTGAAAACGCACCAATAACGGCTGTATTCCTGTATAACTGGTTTCAATACCCAAATCAGTAAAAAACCAGTTCAGATACTGAAGTTGAAGTTTCCGAAAAATTATAAAAATAAAGGTATTTTTTCCCAAATTCGCAATACTCTTATAAACACTGTGCCACAAAGTCAACAATACTATTCTCATAACAATTAGGTATTGTGCTTTGTGCATTCCAAAGCTCTTGAAGTTCTTCCACGGAATTGGCCCAGTGATTATCAACTTAACACCTACGCGAAGCTTAATTGTCTCTACCCACAACACAGACCAGACACAGTAAGCTCCATTATGAATCAATAGAATAGAATTGACTATCGCCAATAGCCTAAAGGTGTCGCTGTCGGAATACCAATAAGAAATCCGAAGAACGCTGTTTCGACTCCCGCCGATTGATAGACTATTGTAGTAAACCCACTTCTGACACAAGCATTGTATTTAGCTTAACTGAAGGGGTTACTCGTAAATTATTATTTTTTGCATTTCAATCCTAGCAATTTAAAAAAAGCAGTTGGCACACACAATATTGTAAAGAAAACAATCCATAGACAAATTAGTCTCATGAAAAAGTTGTTCCAAGGCGTTGATTTTCAGAAAAAAGAGCTATTAAAAATATGATTTTCAAAAATATTAACGACGTTGATTTCCAAAATAAAGAGCTAAATAAAGAATATGAATTTGAACACAATTTCTTACAAGATGATAATTTGAGGCAATAAATCATTACAATATTAATAGATAAGACGCAGAAAAATCTCACTGCATTCATCTCCGTTGTGATCTCAAACAATAGAATCATCCAACCTTGCACACGCAGTTATAATAATAAAATAAACTATTGAAACGTCAGAAATAATTTCGACAATAACTATTTGTATGCACTGTGAATTCTTTGACCGTGGATCGATATACTTGTATCGTTGTATGATATCATTCAACTGAGTGCATTGTTAAAAATACACACAGTCTTTATTGCTTGAATTAAAGATTTGGTCTGGTCGTAGTTTGAACAATTAAGAATTTATTTAATATTCAGAAAACAATTCATAATTCGTAGTGGTTTTAGTTTAGTTCTAGACATTGCGACATGGTTGGAAGTGCATTGGATGGGTGAACAATCTGTCCATTTAGTGCATGCATTTATCACTTGCATCACACATAAATCGATTCATACCTATCATCAAATTACTCTAAAATTTTACGACGAAAGTTTTTACATATCTGTACAAAATTCTAAAGTAACAACGAAAGGCAACCCATGAAAGAGGTACCTAGTTCGAGGATTTTAAGACTATGAATTTGAGGAGTGGCCAACGTTGGTCCTAGACTGAGAAAGTGGCGGGATCTTTGGGGAGATTTGCAGCATAAAAATGAGAATTACTGGGATCAAGACTTGGTATATTACGATTTAAATACCTAGTGTCCGAACTGCATCGTGGTCACAACTGGTACAGATGACAGCAGCACAAGACAGGTGCAAACTTGCCCCTATTGCAGCGACATAAGAAACCTCATTATTATCTATGCTGCTGCAGCTGTCTGTAAATACAGGACTCATCGGACCTCTACCTACTTGTCGCACTACTGCAAACTCTTGGAATTCCTGTATTGCCAGGATCTACAGTTTTCCCGCCAATCAAACAGCACCAGTGAAGATTTAGCTGTCCCGGGGAAAGCTGACTTAGCTGACTAGCCTGGAACAGCTAAATGTTTTAGCGATCCGTAAGCGAAGCGATAGATTCGCCTAAATCTACCTTCACATTGGTCAACGCGGTCAGATCTTTCAAGACCCACCTTATCCTTGAATCCGAGACATCAATAGTGTCTCGGCGCCAAAGTTATTTCCTTTACACAGTATTTAACTGCACAGTTAACCGTTTATTGGGTACGGAATGAACTTTTCGACTAGCTATGTGACCTAGCGGCAGAATGCCTGAATAAAGGTTACGGTTTGATTCTAGCTCCGAACAGCTCAGAATGTTTGTGAGACGGATTTATTTGGATGATATTTTTATATTATTGTCTTTACATTTAAAGTTGCAACTAAGTTTGTTACGATGGAATGGACTCTAAAATGTAGATATTTCTGTCATATAAAACCAATTTACATAGCTTCTGCCTGCGGCTTCGACCGATATTCGGACTGTCACAAAAAAATTAGAAGTGGATTTTTGCTAGAGCACTGCTAAATTAAATATTTGGGGACACTTCGCTATTAAGGATACTAAGCTCTTTGGAATAACATCCATAATATTATCCGCATTTTTTTAATGAATTCGTTAGAAAAGCCCGCTGATACAGCTCAGGTGTATATTGTTATACAATGACAAGACAAGACGATTAATAAAATTCGAGTTCTGAGAATAACAGTATCTAGACTGTGCTCATAAAGTCAGATAAAGGCCATCTAAAACCCAATGTTGTAAGACCTCTCTCTATTTCCACAGCAACCCACCCCAGGGCCGTTCAGGCCGGCCACGCCGACCCAAGGCACGTACAGGCCTCAGCAGCCGCCGCAGAGACCGCAGCAGCCGCCGCAGAGGCCGCAGCAGCCGCCGCAGAGACCGCAGCAGCCTCCGCAGAGACCCCAGCAGCCACAGAGGCCTAACACCTATGTACCGCCACCACCGACTCCCACTGGACCTTCCCATGACGTGAGTTTATAGAATCTTTGAACAATATAGGGTATGGCAGGTAATCAACAACCCATCAAAAACAATACTTGTCAAAAAAACCAAGTCTCGCAACTCAGTTGTTCTACGGTAAAAAGTTGTGAGATCCATGTAATACCAAGTCCAGGCCAGGAAATCTTTAACGTTTTACATAAATATATTGACTTGGCCATCGCACTAAATAATTTAATTTACACGTGTTTTCATGCGATGGCCAAGTCAATATATTTATGTAAAACGTTAAAGATTTCCTGGCCTGGACTTGGTATTACATGGATCTCACAACTTTTTACCGTAGAACAACTGAGTTGCGAGACTTGGTTTTTTTGACAAGTATTGTTTTTGATGGGATCTCATTTCTTTTTGTATTTTGTAGACAGCAGTTATGTATCTAGAAAACTGGACCGAAATTGAAAAATTTTACTCGACTTGGCGGTTGCACTACCGTGCCCCCAAATATTTTAGTTTTTCCTTGATTCATACACCAAACACTACTTATATTCCAAATTTGAAGCTTCTAGGTCTGCTAGAAGTGCCTTAGAATTTTGATGATCGGTGAGTCAGTCAGTGAGTCAGTGAGTGACAAAATTAAGTAACTTTGACCCGTTATAATTCTTAAACTACTGGTTCAAATTGAATGAAATTTTAAATATACCGTGTCTTTACAATGCCTGCATAGCTAATGAAAATTCAGCCTTCTAGTTTTATCCACAACGAAGTTACAGGCGGTCGAAAATGGCCTGAATTGCTTCGAGAAAAGGATGGTACGGCCGTGCCGCTTTTTTGCTCGACTTGGTGGGGGCACTGCCGTGCCCCCAGATTTTAAGTTGGAACTCAGATCTCTATCACATTACGGATACGGTGTGATCTAATCGGGCAAATGACACATCAGTCGGGCTAAAACGCATGCAATGATAAAATGTTATGGACGATTTTAAATGACAAATGTATGGGCATCCAGGCAGTGCCGGGTTAACCCTAAAGCAAATAAGCAATTACTTAGACTTTAGAGCACCATGTGTTGGGGGCACCAAAACGAGAACCATAAGAAAATTTGCTAGCACAAACTATTCCGCCAATTTAAACCCCGTAAAAGTCACATTTACGCCCGTATTCACAAACGATGCTTGCTTAAGTGAAGTAGCAAATAGAACGCACAGTGTTGAATAGAGCTCTGTGATTGGTTCGTGTGTCACCCTGTGCGTCCACGCGCACTGTGAGACCTCATAGTAATGTTTGTGAATACGGGCGTGTAATAAGTACCTACTTTAATCCAGCACTGATCCTAGGACACGGCTTTATTGTTGTCATGTTTAGTGACAAAAAAGTCTAGCAGTTGGTGTTATCAATTTATTTACAAAACATCTACGCATCATCGATGTAGTGGTCGGGGTCGGTTGCTTTTGGAGGCGTAATGTATTTTTGGGAAGAATCTTGATCGTGAACATCTGCTTCATTGTCTGATAACGTTTCTGCAAAAAAACAGATTTTTAGGAAATGCATACGAAACTGTACGCTAAATGTGGAGGACTAAGGGCCTTGCCACACTAGCGGATTGCAAGCGGAGCGGCATGCAGCGCGGCGGGCACGTCGCGGTCGCCAAAATGCACACGCGGCATGCCTCCCCGCTCCGCCCAGAAAACGCTTGCAATCCGCCGATGTGGCAAGGTTAGTGAGCTGCCACACTGGCGGATTACAAGCGTTTTCAAAACGGAACGGCGAAGATGTCTTGGATGCGCGGCGAAGATGCCCCGTTCCGCGGCGGAAAGTCACGGTTGCGCGGCGAACACGAGGCGAAAACTCTAGGTGGAAACGTTGCGCATCCGCGACGTGTTCGCTGCATCGCTCCGCTTTGAACGCGTATAATCCGCCAGTGTGGCAAGGCCCTTAGGAGTCGTTCTCACAGCAATCCAGTTTAGTGGGATCCAGTAATGCAGAAGTTGTTTAGAGACTACAAACTATGCAAACACTATGAAAATTTGAGTCAGAGCTAAGTTACTTTAGCCATGCGAACTAAGCTAATCTAACTTAGCTTAGCTATTTGGCTGCCAACAGCTTAAGTAAGGTAATCTTAGGCCCAGAACACACGGTGAAACGCAATTGCAACGAAACTGCAACTTCTAGTTACTTTTGAGTTGCATCTAAGTTTCTGCCATAGATTCCGTTGAGAGACCACACATGGCGCGACCATTTCAAACCGGTTTCAAACCGTGTGTTCTGGGCCTTACAGAAATAGTGTCGCTTCTCTCGACCAAAAAATGGTGGGGCGCGTCTTCGTGGATGAAACGATCTATACTTAAATTGTTTAAATATGTTTTTAAACCAACCTTCATTACCATTTGCATTTTCCAGTGGCTGGAAATCGCTGTGAACTATGTGGTTTTCTAAAAAAAGGATTTAAAAACCAGCATTACAAAAATCTCGAGTGTAAACATGAAAAGAGAATAAAAATAATTTCGTATTCAAACTATTAAACTTACCATCGCTATCTAAAATGATATAATGTATATTAAAATTTGGAAATTACCTAATAAAAGCAATTAACTTCATTGTAACCTCCATTAGTAAACATAAAACTGAACTAGAAAATTAGTGAAAACTACTTACCAGGAACAAACGACGGGTCAACTAAAAACACGAAAATAGAAAAGAATATAAAATAGGGCGATAAAAAAACTTGGAAAAAGTAATTAATTATGAAATTTTGGCGTAAAGTTCGGACCGCCTTTGCGCGGCGCAGCACGGCACACCACGACACAAAGCGTCAAATTATTCATTTAGTCATTTTGATGGAGTACTTATGGTCGCTCTCGCTGCGCGTCGCAGCACAGTTGCTTACGAGAGAATATTTTTTCCGCGTAGCGCCGCGCAAATGCGGTCCAACCTTTATACTTACAAGTTATAGGCTGATCCGTGGTACATCTCGTTTTCTGTAAGGGAAGCTTTTCTGGCTTGTGCAATTTCACTCGAACTAAGAAAAATATAAATAAAAACATTGTTAATTAAACAAATTTTAAAAATAGAATAATAATTCAAACAGGAAAAAGAATATAAAACAAAAAAAAACAAATGTTAAAAAAGAAATGTTTATGTTCCCTGTAATAAATTCCTATTTTCCTCTTTCGTCGCGCATCACGCCTGAACGGCTGAACTGAACCGATTTCTCTAATGTTATTTTTGTGGTCTTTACTATAATTGCCAGGTTTTTATGTAGGAAAAATAAGAAAGTTGCGCAGAAAACAAAAAGAATTGACTAAACTTAACTTTTCTTAAGACAGAACGTTTGTAGGGTCATTTATTTAAAGAAAGAAGTTGGTACTTACCATTTTCAACACCTTAAAAACAACACAAACGCACTAAACATTTATTTACTGTATATAATTTATAAATTATCTTTTAAAAAACTTTAAACTTACTGGACAGCCGCTCTCCATATTCTACAGATTTGTAATTAGTACGATTTAATAAACCTGAAACTTGTCTTTCATTAAATTAAATTAAAAACGAAAAAACTTGCCTATATCCATTTGTTTTATTAGTTCTAAATTAATGAAAAAAACTTGATTAATATGTAATTCACTTTATAAAATCTGAAAAAAATTAAAGTATACTAACTATGCTTTTCAAGAGATTTGCTATACGCGTTGCAAATCAAGGGTAGGAATAAATACTGTAAAACATAATTACAAAAAGGTTAGGTAACAATAAGTTTAAAGCAAGGTTTAGACTAGCAATAAAATTTGCAGAAGTTGAATTCCGCAAGATGTCACCACTGTGTAAATCTTGCAATAGTTGACCACAGCTATTTATACAGTGGTAAACAGCTTGCGGAAGTCAACTTCTGCAAGTTTTATTGCTAGTCTAAACCTCGCATAAGACTAAAGATTGTTATGTGGTGGCTATCAATTGATCACCTGGATTTGATCACCCAGGTGATTAGAGTGAACTCAAGGCGAAATTTTAGTGTCCTCTGATCACCCATGGATAAGATCACCTAGGTGATCAAAGTGGACTTCTTATTTATAGGTGATTAAAGGACACCAAATATGTCATTTGGAGTCTACTTTGATCACCTGGGTGATCAAATCCAGGTGATAAAAGTGGAATAGAGTAGACCTATAAATTTTGTGTCTAGGTGCAATTGGGGTAAGGTTTTTGACCGGCAGTGGGACAGTGATAGATTTGGTAACCAAAAATATTTACCCAAATATAAATCCGTGAATGGCTCATAGTGACGCACTCCAAGAACTCTGCCTTTACATGTTTATAACGTACAATAAAACATTTACGATTTTCGGTATCGATATTGTAATAAACGAAATATTAAATCACAGCAACTAGAAATGGAATCGCAACATCCAGTAGATATGTACGAGTAGGTAACTTTCCTTCGTCTAATTTTCCACATTTTATTTCCTTCTCTCCCTGAATGATAGTGACAACCCATAAGATTAAGTACCTACCTATTAATCACCTTAGAAGGTCTTGTAGTTGCAAAAATTGCATGTCAATAACATCTAGGAGTTCCACTCCATATTGCAACTCCTTATAAAAGATGTAGCAAACCGCTTGGAGACCCTTTGCTCTTCACCAATCTGTAAGCCTTACAAAAAAGCAGCGAACCCTTAGGCCTCAGCTTCGAGTTTAGCGGGCAGCGGGGCGGGAGCGGCGGCGGCGCGGGAGGCGGGGCGGGCAACACAGACCCGTTCTCGAAACAAGCGGGCAGCTCGCGCGGCGCTTTAGCGGCGAAGTGTTGTGTTCGGGGTTGTGTTGTCGAGATATTTGTTTTTATTCGCAAACGAAATGTTTGAACAACAGCGACAATTTTATTTCGATTCAAATTTATTCCTAACGCTCGATTTATTGTGGACAAAAGAAGGAGTGCGCTGCCCGCTCCCGCGCCGCTGTTTTCGAGAACCAGTTTATTTAATTTTACGCATAAGATCCTGCCGCTCCCGCGCCGCCGCTGCTCCCGCCCCGCTGCCCGCTAAACTCGAGGCTGAGGCCTTAGGCCTAGTTCAGACACGTGTGATATCCGCGCGGTTTCTGGGTGACTCTAATTGGTGAGGCACTGATGCAGTAACCATGCGGTTACAGTTTGATGCAAATGTACGGGAATCGCACCACATTTTCTCACCAATGCAACTTTTTTACAACCAGGATCTACAGCTTGGCTTCCAATGAAACCCAATCAGTAGAAGGTTTAGTAGTCCCGGAGGATAGCTAACTATCCAGGAACCCGCAACGAATTTAATCAGAAGAATAAAGGAGTTAACAATACTCCTGTGTAGCCAGGATCTTCAGCTCGAGCAGTTCAGAATACTAGTAAACATACGAGAACTGCCAAGCAACCACGCGATTATCGCAGTTTACGAACCAGCGGGGTTACTCCGAAAAACGTAGTCAAAGTTTCGGATGTTGCCATCCCTCTCACGCAAAGCGAGATACTGGCATGACCGACGGTGACAGATAGACCTGAAAAAACGCAAACCGCGTTTCAGAGTAGCCCTGCAAGCCTTAGTGACATTTCTCTTATTCCAGCACGACCACAGCCACGACCACCACGACGAGCACCACCACCACGAGCCCGGCATGCCCTTCGACTTCGCCTACACTGTCAACGAGGATGGAAACGACTACAGCCATAACGCCATCTCCGACGGTGACGTCACGAGGGGAGAATACCGCGTGGCCCTGCCCGATGGCCGCACGCAAGTCGTCAAATATACTGCTGATTGGAAGAACGGATTCAATGCTGAGGTAAGCTTTTCTTCTAAAAGATTCTAAACCAGTCAAAGTCCTTACGTGACTTTTGAAGAGCGACTGCAGTCTTAACGCCATCTCTGATGGTGACGTCACGAGGGGAGAATACCGTGTGGCCCTACCTGATGGACACACGCAAGTCGTCAAGTATACTGCTGACTGAAAGAACGGGTTCAATGCTGTGCTGAGGTAAGCTCATTTGCATTCTAGAAGATTCCAACTTTATTAAAGTCTTTGCGTGACTTTTGCAGAGCGCTGATCAACATTGACCACCAATGCAGCCTAAACATGGAGCCTCCTAGATTAGCTATAGTTGTTAGCCTTCTGATTTGATCAATAGTAAAAAGTCTGAGAAGTAGCGGCTAGTTTTAGTTTGGTTAGAATATTGTAGCAATTAGAACTTCGACAGGCAATAATTAATGTTGTTTCCTCATTAACCAGATAGTTTTGACTGTTCCCACTCCTAGCCAGACAAGCATGTTGGAAGCATGCTCGTAGTCTATAAAGTTTGTGAGGTTTTAGGGGGTAATCTCTGGATCTACTGACCGGTTTTGAAAATTCTTCTTTGTCATTAACTAGGTATAATATAACCCGAAAAATGAGCTTTTTGTGACAAAACGATATTCAAGGAAAAACCTTTTCAATTCCAGGTGAGCTACGAAGGTGAGGCCAGATACCCTGACCAGCAGCCGGGCTACGGCAGCGGACCTTCAGCCAGTCCTGGCCAGGCTTACGTTCCCCCCAGCCAAGGTGGCGGATACCAGTATTAAGAGAGAACTTGAAGGCGTAACTGGAGAACCTAGTTTGGAGCATTTGATGGAATGGTTCATTTTGGCAACAATCACAAATCATATGAGTTAGACATCACTATCACTACATATTATAAAACAAAGTCGCTTACCTGTCTGTCGCTATGTATGCTTAGATCTTCAAAACTACGCAACGGATTTTAATGCGGTTTTTTATAGACAGAGTGATTCTAGAGGAATATTTTTAAGTATTATAAGTACATTGTATCTATGCGAAGCAAGGCGGGTCGCTAGTAGGACTATAAAGGGGTCATATTGTATACAACAAGGATATGACTCTATTCTGAAAAGATATGCATGGCTTTGCTATGACATTATCGAGAATTTGAGTTTCGTTATCAAAAACTTTCTTCAGAAACGAAATATTAAATTGATTATAAAGGTATCGATTCAGTATTACTAGGTAGCGTATCTACTTCTTTTCCTTAATAATTATAATCGATAAGACCAAGAGCAGGTTCTCCAGTTATGCCGAAATAATATAAGAATCGTACTTAGAACTAAGAGAATGCAGGCACTTAGAAGGTGGGATCTACGTGGATCGGAGCGGAGCTCAATGCGGAGCTATGTATCGGTTTATATGCGCATTTTGTTTGCTCCGCACTTTGTGTACTAAATAGCTAAGGATGAGTTTTTATTAATGCGAATGCTGAGCGGAATTTCCATACATTCGACATTCTAAGCGGCACGAGTGGCGTGCAAAATATATGAAACTAGCTTTCCGCCCGCGGCTTCGCCCGCGTGGAATTTTGTCTGTCACAGAAACACTTTATCGCGCGCGTCCCTGTTTCAAAAACCGGGATAAAAACTATCCTATGTTCTTTCCCGGGATTCAAACTATCTCTATGCCAAATTTCATCAAAATCGGTTGCGAGGTTTAAGCGGGAAAGCGTAACAGACAGACAGACAGACAGACAGACAGACAGACAGACAGAGTTACTTTCGCATTTATAATATTAGTTGGGATTGAAGCACTGCTTCTCTCCAACTAGCTCCGCATTTATAGAAACGTCTCTTCTAGTGCCTAATTTACTCTTTATCTTGAGTATAAAAACCCAACGTTATCTGATGTCCAGTGATTTTGAAACTGCCCCTTTAAAATAAAATCTTTTTTAAGACCTTGTCTATGACAAGTTAGGTATTTGAAGAATCTCATTTTTATTTAATTAATAGTTCTCATAATACAGTGGGTCCTAATTTATATTATATCAGTAATACTACTGTATTTATAAATTAGGAAGTACTGTATGATTGTCAAATTAATTAGGAATTACTAGAAGCGAAATGAGATTGTGTTATGTATGTAATTACAATGTAATGATTAAAAATTAAACACTGTAATGTCTGTATAATATATTTTATATTTCGATTGTATAAGTGTAGTCAAAAATATAATTTTGATGACATTTTTTAACCAATTTATAGTTACCAGAATATTAGTTACCATTATAAAGTATGTAAGTACTTAATAAGTATAATATACATAGACATAGTTATGTAATAATAAAGTAAGTACTACTTATGTGCCTAGCACATATCTACAGTCTAAACCAAGTTTCACAAGCTTATATCTGGATAATATACAATATAATATTATATTCTACAAACTACATAACTCTACACTACAAAACAGTATTCTAAATTATTTTAAAACAACAATGTAATATTTTTTTAGTTCACATTTTCATAGTGTGTAAGATTTTCTACAATTGGTCCCTTTATTCAATAATTTATATAATAATTCTAAGTTTGTACATTATACATATAAATGTAAACACTTAAATAAATAATGTATTAAATACGAATATAATAAAACGCGTCATTCGTTGTTATGTGCCGAAAACTGCAGTGACATGTGATTTAAGTGATATAAGTATGACAAATAAATTGTAATGTGTTTTTTAACTCAAAATATAATACTCAATGTTGCACTGCCTTTTGTATATTATATTATACAATTTATACATGAAGCTATGAGGTGTTCAATTCAAAAGTTGTTATTAGAAAATGTCCTTTTGTACCTTATTTTTTATAAAATAAAATTAAGCCACAATATAACTTTTGTTTTTTTATTTTTTTAAGACTACAAACAGTGAAATTATTTTTTCCTTGGGGAAGGCCTATGTTCAACAGTGGATGATCTATGGCTGAAATGATGATGATGATGATGACTAAAACAGGAACTTGAATACCATTTGATTAAAATTTACAAGTCTTAAACTTTAAAGTTTTATGACAGGAACCATTATTATTAGAGATGAAACGGATTGTTGTTTGGCCGGATACCGGATATCCGGCCAGCTGGTAGGCCGGATAGCCGGATATCCAGCGGCCGGATAGTTGGCTCATCGTCTCGTTGCATGTCGTGACGAGTTTAGCGCCGCACTGGTGTTTCGAACGTGATTAGTACCTCTAGTACGAAAAACTTTCGAGTTCGTTTCGTTTGCGTATTCAAAGTGTCATCGAAAAATTTTGTATGAAAAATTAAACAGCGCCCCCTATATTATAGCCGCCCTAGGGGGCGAAATTTTTCGATGACACTTTGAATACGCAAACGAAACGAACTCGAAAGTTTTTCCTACTANCTCGGCCGTTCGTTTCAGCCGAAAGACGTCCACTGCTGGACAACGGCCTCCCCCAAGGATTTCCACAAAGACCGGTCCTGTGCCGCTCACATACAGGCACCTGACGCGACCTTCACCAGATCATCGGCCCACCTAGTGCGAGGCTTGCCCAAGCTGCGTCTTCCAGCTCATGGTCGCCACTCAAGAACTTACCTGCCCCAGCGGCCATCAGACAACTTATAGTGTCTCCAACCTTCAGAGGAGTGGGTACAGCACGGCAATTGACATGATTTTTCTCTAGTCCATTAAAGACCCATTTGTTGAGAGGCTCTATTGAGGCAATCGAGGATTGAGCTTAGATCCTCCACGTTCTCAGCCATGACTACGATATCGTCCTCGAATCAAAGATGGGTGATGTACTCGCTGATGATATTTATGCCCAATCCGCTCCAGTCCAGAAGCTTGAAAACATCTTCCAGAGTGGTAGTGAACAGTTTTAGAAATATGACATCTCCCTGTCTGACCCCTCGCTGCAACTGAAGACCTGATCCTGGAGACGGACTGACATTGTGGCCTATTCGTACAAGCCCTTCAACGATTATAAATATCTATAATAATTTTGGCACCGTTGGAGAGACTGTAGCTTGAAGAGAGAAGTCTTTCTCATAGACCACAAATGCCAGACAAAGTTGCTGATTATTCTCCTCAGTTTTCTGCCATAGATAAGTATGTGGTCTATCATACTAAAGCCTTATCGGATTATTCGGGATTTGTTCGGGAGGTTAGATGTCGCGTGAAACCATTCATGATGACTCTCAAAAACGGAATCAGAAGTGAGATGGGTATAAAATAAATTCTTCAACAAGGTTTTGTTGCCTTTTTTGAAGAAGAGTATCACCACACTTCTGTGCCATGCCGTAGGCGTTTTCCCCTCAAGGATGACGGAATCGAATAGCTTCTAAAGAGCCCTTAGTACCGGCGTTCCGCCTGATTTCAGAAGCTCAGCCGTGATTCCATCATCGCCCGGTGCCTTTTTGTTTTTCAGCTGTTTGAGAGTCATTCTAATCTCGTACAGACACGTCCGGGATATCTTCGGTATAGTGTCGGGTCAATCTAGCTCTTGGGTCTTCGGCTAGATTTGTCATTTGGACAGGTTTTCAACTTCTTCCAATAACGTAAGAGTCAGCCACTGCGTTCATAACATGTTAACACCTAGGCAGCACTCTGACAATCCTTAGTATGTACGCAGTATAATTGTAATTACTGCATTAATATTAAGTACAAGTCATCTGTTTTTCCTATGGAAACATAATATCAGTGTGTGTTTAAGTGGAATTACTGCACATATACTATGTGCAAGGTGAACTTAACAATTGTAGAAACATAATAAGAATGATGTAATTGGCACATACTGCACTATTACTGTGTAGCAAATTAAGTAAGCGCGAGTATTCACGTAATATTAAGTTATTATGTGCTCTTACTGCTAACATAGTATGTGAAGAAACCTACAATCTGCTCTTTACTGCGTTTATGATAATATGTATCTTCCGTTCTAAGATAGATAGAAAAAAACGGGTCTTTGATTCTTATAGATCGCGATGTCAGGATTCTGAATATTCAAAACAATCATAAATGCAGTAAGTGGTACTTACTGCGTTTATAAATTGTGCGGCAGCATTGCCCATCAATTGGGTTATAAAAGCATTTATATCACAGATCCTGATGGATTAGGAACTAAAACTGTACCATCAAAATAATGTTCAATTACATTATTAGTGTCAATTAACTGTATCTCACTACTTCCAGTATGACCATGAATCTTCTTCATGTGTGTGTTCAGTTCTTTCCGTAAACTAAATTTTTTATCGCACAGAAAACAACTGATAGTTTTCTCCATATGCTTCCTCTTAAAATGATCGGATCGTCGTCCTGAAGTCACAAACCGTTCATTGCAAATCTCACACTCAAATGGTTTCTCCCCTGAATGCAATCTAAGGTGTTCGATTAACGTTTTCTTGGTGACAAAGTGGTCTCCACACTGCTCACAAGTGAGGCTTTTTATTTTATCATGTATCAGAGCATGTTCTGTCAGATTACTCTTCCTATAAAAAGCTTTATCGCATATCTCACAAATGAACGGTCTTACTTGTAAGTGTACTTTATTTACGTGAGCTTCTAAACTATTTTTGTTGAGGCTGCGGTATGAGCACAAGTTGCAAAAATAATAATAACACTTCCGAGAAGGTTTAACTTTGGTTGTATGATTTTTTAAATGTATTTGGTAATGTGAGTGAGATTTCAGGGTTTTTGAGCAAAACGGACAAGTCTTCACTCTATGGCAGTTTAAATGATTTTTCAAAGTACTAGGTTTTTTACAGTCTTTGCCACAAAATTCGCAAACAGCTGCTTGGTCTATATTCTTATGAGCTAGAGTCTTATGATTAAAAAGTAACTCTTTAGAATTGAATTTCATATCACATTTACTACAATTCTCAGTATTTGTTATACATATTTCATTTTCAGTCCACTTTGTGTCATTTACAACGTTTTCCTGATCGTCTTTACTAATTATGGGCATTTTTAAGTACATTTGTATCTTATCTACCTCTATTGAGCTAAGATTAATTCTACTTACCTCGTCAGTAAGGGCACCGGTGATCGAAGAAAGAGTTTTTCGTAGGATATTGTGTCCTCGAAGCTTCGTGTACGTTGTTATGAGGATGTTGGAGCAGTCTTCACAGGCTTGAGAACTTATAATATCCTGAAAAGACAATTATTTTTTTATTGTTTTTTATAATGTAACTTATAAAAACTATAATTAGAATGAGGTACCTACATAGAGCAGTTACCGTAACTAAATCAAAGTGATCAAATAATACGATTCTGAGAATGGTAAACTCGGTGACATAACCTTAACCTTAGAGAGAAACTAAGTTTAAAACAAAACGAAAACTGTATCTGAAACGTAATTATGACATATTTTAAGCGTTCTTTACTCACATGACATGGAAACAAAAAATTCATCACACCAGCTAGAGTTGTTTCTACAGATTGATATTCATCACAAATAAAAAGTTTTTGAGTGACACTCAAGTTTTCTTCTTTTTGTTTCAAACACAAGAAGCAGGTTAACCTAAATTTAAGTGGGTCTATTAACATGTTTAAGAATTCCATGATTATGAGTGAAATTTTTTCGTTAATACTAACATAAATAAAGTTTTTAGAAACTTTCCAAAGTTTTATCAATTCAAAACAAAACAAATTGACCGAAGTCGAAGTGACACTGACATTTACATTTCTTAAAATTCATCATAATTCATGAGTGACAAAGGAATATGTGTGTGTTCATAGAAGAAAGGCCTGTGAATAGTAATGCGATATTTGTCCTTTATTGATAATGTAGCTGTTAAATCCAATAAAATAAAGTAAAAAACTCGTGTATGACAGATAAACGTATTATGTTTAAACTATAACTTAATTCTACATTTAAACTTCACTCCTCGGATAATACTATGTGCGTAATACGGAACGTCGTGGGAGTCCGTGGGACTGTTCCACTTTGTGACATTTTGATAGTGACATTTTATTTTTGTGAGTCATTTGTGTTCTCTTTTTACATTTTTCTTGAGGTAAAAATACACAATCAGTCAAGAAATTTTAATAATTCTGAAGTCCAAGGTAACGTAAGAAATTATTACATTTTGTTTTCCATAATAATAAACACATAAATGGAGATCGATAAATTTCTAATTGGATTTTTTGATACATTTTCTTTCACACTTTTGTGATCTTAGCAAAAATTTGTAATGGAATACAACTAGGTAGTTCCTGTGGGCGGCAAAAAGTGGCGGGTCTTTTCTACTCCTTCCCTTTTAATTATTATTAATCAACAATTAATTTGGTCCGGGAGTACCAAAGGGGGTCCATTAAAATAACACTTAATTTTTTTTTTCGAAAATAGCAAAAACCATAGTGATCAAAAAAAGATAGACTGATTTTTAAAAATTTTTGAAAAAATTAATAGGTTTTCTGACACTTAGAAAAATTTTGACGACTTTAGTATGGAGTTTATACATAGCCGAATTTTCGAAAGCATTTTGTATGGAGCCGAGACTTGTAAAAATTTTCGCAATGCGATGGCTTAATTCGGATTTCCTCGTCTCCGGCGCTGCGGGATGAGCAGCCTCTTCGCCCTTACGTAACAAGGCGTAATCGCATACAGTGGGCGGAGGCTGCTCAGTCCAGCGTTGCCAGACGTCCCGATTTTGGCGCGACGTCCCGATTTTTAAAACAAATTTAAATTTCCCGCGCGGGACAGGCTCGGTCCCGCTTTTCGGAGAGAGACACTCACTTCACCAGACTATTGTTTGAAACGCCATATTATTCTAAAGACAAATTTAACGATAGAGTAAATCTGATTTAATTTTTTTTTTTTTGTTAAAATACTTTTTCTATGGCTACTTTTGCTATCTATTGTGACGTAAACGTAATTTTAAGTCAAATAAAAAGATAAATATTTGAAAACCTTTGATTATATACGTTTTTTTATTATGTCCCGCTTCTGACGGAAGAATCCCGCTATTTTCACTCAAAAAGTACCAAAGTCCCGACTTGGCCAAAAAAACCTCCCTCCGCGCCTCCGGCTTTGGAATTACACTCTAGTATCGGGCAGACAAGTACCACGGCCAAAGGACCACGGCGAGTCGGGGTAAACGCAATTGGATAATGGTCTTTCATACATAGATTAATAGACTAGAAAACTGCATATATCTCAGTAACGGTGCGTCGGATCGAAAAAATAATGGAATTTTGAACCCCCTTAAGAACGCCGTCCGGCACCTAGGCCCATAATAATTCCGACCTCAAAAAACGGTCAAGTGTGAGTCGGACATTTTTTCCTAAGTAAATTTGCGAGTCTCGGCTCCATACAAAATGCCTTTGAAAATTCGGCTATGTTCTCAGACCCCCCTTGCTTGCGAAAGCGAAAAATATTACAAGTCCCAGCTCCATAAAAAACACGATCAAAAATTCGGCTAAGTCTAAACTCCATACTAAAGCCGTCGAAATTTTTTTAAGTGTCGGCGCCATACAAATTACGCTCGAAAATTCGGCTAAGTACCTATGTCTCGGACCCCCTTTAAGTACAGATATAAATACAGTGTGAGTCACGTTAAAGTGTACATATGAAAATAGATGAAACTAGACCTATTTTTATCGACAAAAAAGAGGTCAAAAAATTTTTGAGATTTTTTTTTAATTTTTTATAGAATTTTTTTTCATCCAATTACTTATTGTAAAGAAAACATAATAACTATTAAACTAAGCGGTATATCTTGATAAAATAAAAACAGTAATAATGCTAAATAACAGGCAATACTAAAAAAATACATAAAATACACAAGAAAGGCCAACAAATAATAAAAAAAATATACTTTTTGAAAAAAATCCGCTTAAAAATTCGTGTTTTTTTGGTTATTTGATAAATTTCTCCAAAAAATGCCCCTATAACCGGTAGTTTTTATTACTTTGTATTATTCTCTATCGTATTACCTTCGTAAAACGAAAAATCGCATGTCTCTATCCCTATCACAACGTTTGCAATGATCGTTTGAACTAAGCCTCTCCGGGCGCGCCATTCAACGCTTCGTTAACAACAAAACTGAAAATGGCATTAGATTTGTAATTTTGATAAAAACAAGTTAGATTTCAAATAAAAACAAAAGATTTCGAAGTAAAATAAGCATTTTAGTTAAAATTAAAATTGTCTCTACCTGTAGCGGAGAATAATGTTGTGGCAGGCCTTTGTTCAAACGATCATAGCAAATGTTGTGATAGGGATAGAGACATGCGATTTTTGGTTTTACAAAGATAATACGATAGAAAATAATACAAAGTAATAAAAACCACCGGTTATAGGGGCATTTTTTGGAGAAATTTATCAAATAACCAAAAAAACACGAATTTTTAAGCAGATTTTTTTCAAAAAGTATCATTTTTTATTATTTGTTGGCATTTTTTGTGTATTTTATGTATTTTTTTATTATTGGCTGTTATTTAGCATTTTTACTGTTTTTATTTTTTCTGGATGTACTTCTTAGTTTAAAAGTTATTTCGTTTTCTTTATAATAAGTAATTTGAAGAAAAAAAATTCTATAAAAAATTAAAAAAAAATCTCAAAAAAATTTTTGACCTCTTTTTTGTCGATAAAAATAGGTCTAGTTTCATCTATTTTCATATGTACACTTTAACGTGACTCACACTGTATATTATGTGCATGAATGTATTGTAGGTATTCTGGCATACTACTTACTTAATTTAATCTGTTAAAACTTAGTTGTGATGAAATAATAAAAAATGTATTTGCAATATAATTTGTGATAGGTAATCTAATGGTAATTTTTTTCACTTACACTCATAAAACTTTTACAGTAATAACCTACCATGGAGGAAGACATTAACATCTTAAATACTCATCCTGAAAGTCAAGACCGTAGCAATGTTCAACGTTTGAAGCTGAAACTTGCCACTATATGCCAAGCGCAGAGATTTTGCGGAATTTGCTTGGAGAGCTCGGACAAACTGTGGTCCATCGATACAGAGTTTGATATTGCTGTTAGTCAGTCAACACATAAAAAACTACTGAAGGATATTATTGACTACATTCTCAATGATGAAGTAAGTGTACTTAGACTAAAATTTAATATTATTGTTTAATATTTAAGCAACTAACTCTGTGAGTGATTCGTGTGGCACCCTGTGCGTCCACACGCACTGTGAGACCTCATAATAATGTTTGTGAATACGGGCGTACAGTCCTCTCAACTTAAGCTGAGAATTGCATTTGTGTGAGTGCACACCGATAGTTTAGAGTGGCAATCGGCTTGAAGCGCGGCGCGTCCCGCGCATGGTTTATTATAGCAAGCGGCCTGAAGCGCGGCGCGTCCGCCACGCACCGCTTCCTTGTCGCTCACATACTTCACTTCACCCCCGGTACTGGTAGCAGATACGTGTAATTTTATGTAATTGTGTTCCAAATATTAGTAAAATGGCTACTGTAAGTGAATTTCCTGTACGAAATCCATTAAGCAGCCAAGTGAAAGAAATTTTATGCAAATTGAATACGTATTTTAAAGGTGTGAACGAAAAGTTTTTAGTCTGTTTTATTTTTGTAATTTTATAAAGTTTGTCTTTTTGTTGTATTTTGTAAGGCTGGCTGGACGCCCTCTCTATAAACGGTGCTCGCAGAATATCAGCGTCGAGGTACTTCGTGCCTTGGCATATGCTGAGCGAGGACCTGTTTTTATTTATTTATTTATTTATTTAAAAGGATGTGTCAAGTGTCGTTACATCGGCCCAATTGGTAGCAAGTGTTTTATAGACTTCCTTTTAATAAAACATTAATTTTATTTGTATGTGTTTTACTAACGGTACTTTTGGCGATCACTCACACAAATGCAATTCTCAGCTTAAGTTGATAGGACTGTAAGTGTGTGTTATTTATATGATCAAACGAACTTACCAAGTGAAGTTCGATCTGAATTATCCTGTTTTCGCCGAAGAAAGAGAATTATTAATAGGTACCAACTAGCATATTATGATATTATCATTACAAAACTTAAGACAGTGCCGAAATGGTCTGTGCCTTTACCTACAAGTTCTAATTTTCAATTCTATCAACTTTCAGAGTCAGCAAATACTTGCAAGCTTTTACCTCTGCAGCAACTGTACGGAAAAATCCATCCAGTCATACCTCTTCATTTACAACGCTAAACAACTCTCCAAGATAATATACGAGTGTATGAACGAGTTGTACTCCAAAACTGTGGACGTCCAAAATCAGTTGCAATCGTTAGACGATTGTGATGCCAACGTTGTTATTGTATTGGAACAAGAACATGAAATGAGCAAGTATACTGAAATTGGGAAAATGACTGAAATTATAGCTAAAGAAACTTCGAAAAATGATGCTTCAATATCAAGTAACACTAAACAAACTGAAAATAACTTTACAACTGAAATAGTGAGGCCAATAGAAATAGAAGAAATTCACATAAATAATGATGAAGATATAAATAATCAAGATATAGAAATTACATTTATAGAAGAGGAAATTCAGTCATCAGAATTTGAGATAGATAAAGAGTACTCTCAAGTTAAAACTATAGTATCTCAGAAGAAAAAGACAATACCCTCTATAACATACAAGTGTACCAGATGCAGAGAAGTTCTACCATCTTATAAAAGTTACAAAGATCATAAGAAAATGTGTAGGAAACGATTAACAGGCCCTAATAAGCTGCTATTCAATTGCAAGGTTTGCAATGAAAAATTTGTTACACAGAGGTCTTTAAACACTCATTATAAATTGCATTCGAAAGCAAAATGTAAGGTCTGCCAATTCATAGTCCCCGAAGAGGATATGACAGAGCACATGAGAATCAACCACGAAGAGTACGCTCATCTCTGCAAATTATGCAATTTCTTCTCTTTTTCTGCCAAAGGATTAGAAACGCACATAGAAAAGAACCACAGCGGACCTCAATGTGCTTTATGTTTCAAGAAAGTCAAAGGAAAAGACTTAAAACTGCATAAATGCAAATTCAACTGCTTAGAATGTTTAGACAATGTCTGTATTCATTATAAATACCTGGTCTCGTACAGAGAGCAGGTACTACAGAAGGCCACTAAAATACAATGCGTTGACTGTGATTATGTCTGCTATAGGAGAGAAGCGTTGCTCGGTCACGTTAACAGAGAACATTTAGACCATCATCCATTCACTTGCGCTCATTGTGAACAGCAATTTTACTCGCGAACCACTTTGAGGTACCATATAAACCACTTCCACAAGGAGAGACACGTTTGCGAGTATTGCGACCAGGAGTTCGGCTCTAAAGTCACTTTGGAAAACCACAGAAAGCTTTGTCAATGCATAGAAAAAGACTACAAATGTGATCAATGTAAAAGTTCCTTTGAAACTTTAGAAGAATTAGCCAATCATGTGAAGTTAAGACATGCTTATAAGGCCTTTGACTGTAATTTGTGTGAAAAGAAGTTCTTGAATAGCTCGAAATTGCAAGATCACATGTTTAAAGTGCACAGCGGGATTCAGATTAAGAAAAAGAGATCTCTCCTGGACTGCCCTATCTGTGAAGAGAAATGTGATAATAAAAGACAATTGCTCCAGCACATAGAAATACACGGACCAGACGCAAGGTTCCCTTGTAAAGAATGTGATATGGAGTTCGATTGTATCAGAAAACTACACCGTCATATCCGCATACATTACGACGATGTGATTCAGTGTGTCGACTGCAAGAAAGTGTTGACCAAAACGTTTTTTCCGCACCACTCTGTATATTGCAACGTTGGTCGTGAGGGTAATGAAGTCTGTACATGTGAGACTTGCGGTAAAACTTTTACTACTGAAGTCCAGTTTAAGTTCCATATGAAAGTACATCTGGAGAAAGTGCCGTGTCCGATATGCAAGAAGCCAACGAAGCCGATTTATATGAAAGGTCATATCAAACGAATGCATGGGAAGCCAAGGACACCTAAAGTGCCAAAGCCAAAGTATGTGAAGAACGTGAAATGTGACTGGTGTGGACACATGGTGTCTCGGCTGGGTGAATTGGAGACTCACGTCAATAGATTCCATTTAAAAGTGAAGCCGTATCAATGTAAATATTGTCAGAAGACCTTTTTCGGTAAGGAGCGTTTGAGGGACCACCTCATAACGCATACATCATCGAGGGCAGTTTACTGTAACATTTGCAATCAGAGATTTGAAAATAAACAGTGTCTGAAGCTCCATATGAGGAAACATACCGGTGTGAAGCCATATACTTGTGAGATCTGCGGCGAAAGTTTTAGGACGTCTAGTATAATGAATACCCATAAAGTTAAAAAACATTCGGAAAGGACAGTGGCGTGTCCGCTTTGCGATGCGATGTTCCACTTGACTAGAGAGATGAGGTGTCATTTCAAAAAGGCCCATTGGAAGCAAAAGAACAGGAAATTCGATCCAAGAGAGGTGAAGGAATTAAGTCCGGCATTTTACCATCTTTTTGGAGATGGGAGATTGCCCAAAGTAGAGGGCGAAGAGTTGTATATCTCTTCAAAGTTTAATGAGAAGTTTGGTTGAAGTTGTTGACGGTTGTAAAAATGAAATAAGCAAGTTGAATTAAATTCAATACCTAATTTATATTATTTGGTTTGGTTTATATGGTCTAAGCTTAGACCTTAAATTAATATTCTCATACTTTTATAATTGTTTTCTTAAATGTTAAAATAATCTATTTATTTATAATATAGACCATTGTATGGGGGTGGAGGGCTGGTAACCTGAGACACATGAATCTTCCTAGTTCAGGTATCAACCCACCAACATTCTTTTTAAAAAAGTTTTTTTTTATTATATTTTTTTGTTATCATTATATTATCTGTTATGGGCACTTCTTCGAAATCGCATTCTTCGGCTGATTCATATGGACAAATTTCAAATTCAATTTTAGGTTTGTAACATAGACTCATATGAAAATAGGTACACCCAATAACATATATTTGGATAAGGGACTCGTTTTTGTAAAGTAGTTTTCATGATATCGACGTTCAAATATTTTGTGCCCATATGAATCAGAATTTGTTACATATTAATCAAAAATAGAAATAAAATTTATAATCTTTATGTACAATTGGCTCTAAATTAATAAATAATCATATTATAACAAAAACAATGATCTGTTGTTATGAAAAAATGCAACGATTCCACAATAATTCGTGAAAAAACTTTTTTTTTGAAACTTTAGTATACATCCCTAATATTTCATCATAATAATCATTTCAACTGAACTTAAGCCTCTCCCAATGATTTTCATAATGACCGGTTGGTAGCGGCCTGCATCCTACGACTTTCTGTGGGAGGACGTTCTACACTGAGCTTTCCGGCACGTGGTTTCCACTCCAGAAACGTGCTATCCCATCGGCCATCATTTCTGTATACTATTTGTGTCCTGCCCATTATCACTTCAGCTTGCTAAAACATCGGACTATGCCACCATGCGACTTTAGATCGTTTACGGATCTCCTCATTTCAGATTCGATTGCATAAAAAAAACAAGCATAGTCCACTCCATAGTACACTATGCAACTTTGTGGTTCGTAAGCCTACAGTGAGAGGCCGCTTTTCAGTACAATTATTTTGTCATCACTGATAACACACGCTGGATGTAGACTTTCATCTTATGGCACTAAGGTATTTTAGATGACTCTACCGAGCTGTATCACTTATCCAAGCTATTCTTGTTAAGACGTCCACCTACAAGGTGAAGAAGGTGAGATGAGCTTATAGAGGTTATGGCAATGGCAATCAGTTAATCTCGAAATCATTGGAGGCTTATGCTCAGCAGTATATTATTATGTGCTATGGATGCCATTAGTGTAGCTGAAATAATAATAAAAATAAATAAATCGTTGGGCAATTTCATACAGCGCTATTTAGCCACAAAATAAGCAACAAATATTTTTGTGTTATGGTTGCTAGCTTAACGGATATACTACTTATTTACTGTTTAAACACATAAATTATTCTTAGCATAAAAATGATAATGTTTTTTTTATTCATAACAAGACCGCAATCGCACCTGGTCTTAAGTGAGATGCAGTCTGGGATGTCATTCTTAGCTAAAAAAACCCTTTTTTGGGACCAAAAACTAATTTATATTATGATTCATATAGGGCCCTGACCATATGAATCACGCACAGATAAATCAGTTTTTTGCCTAAAATCGAGCAAAACTCGCCATACATACAGACTACAGTGTTGTCATTTTTCTACATGAATCTATAACCCAAAAGCATCACAAGAAAGACAGATTAGATTTTTAATGCAATAATGTAATTTTATAAAGTAGGCATTGTAATCAGCATGCCACCTGAACCAAGCACAGATGAATCAAGTATTTGCCTTCGTCACACCGGGTTCTAAGCCAATCAGCTCCACGTCTGCCTTCTAGCTCATCTGTTGCAAGATGGGCTTGCCTCCACGCCAGAAACCAGACTCTCATGATTAAAACCTGACCAGTTATGGTCAAGAACAGCTCACGCCATATGAATCAGTATTTTACGCCGGACACTGCTTATTTATTTTTTTGCGAACACACTAACTTAATTAAAATTATGACACATTTTTTTTGTAGAAGGACAACTCATTAGCTTTCGAAATAATTTTAATTTATATCGATATATTAAAAGGAAAATGCTACATCAACCACTTTGTTCCGGAAAACGGCTAACGGACACACCATATGAATCAGAGAATCACACTTCAAATATTTTTATTTTGTAAAAAGACAGCAATTATTTCAAAAACGTAATTTGCGCCAGATAGGTTTAGAGCTAATGTATACTAAAAAAAATATTGCATGCCATTTTGTTAGTTAGTTACAGAACTATACCCAAAGACATCGAAAATTTTGCCTCCGGAGAAATACCCTTATGTTGGTGAGAAATAAACATTACTTTACTTTACTTTAGATTAATTCCCCATTTATTGTCCCGAAGCAGTGGTAGGGTTAATATTGGGACGTGTAAAAGCGCTTTTTTAAAGCCTATTTGCAAAAATAAATGAATTTTATGAATTTTAATAATACTTAAGTAGGTAAAGGTGTATCAGAATCTCATGGCAAATAGGGAAAATAAACTTTGTTGAGAGCAATACTAGGGAAATTGGAATAAACGATCTTGATACTGTTTAATTTTTTACTTTTATGACTTTAATATTAATGAACATGAAGTACGAATATACATTTTAGGTAGGTATGTGTATGAAGAATGTTGTTATACATCAGGTTTTTAACATAGAAAAAAGGTCTGGGAAATTAAATAAATCGTATATTATAGCCTGACCAGGAACATAAAAACCCTCGCCATGTTGCGGAAAACTAATGGTACTAATTTCTTTTAATGGCAACAGTAACTGAAAACTTCATTGACATGTCACCTTGCATGTCAGTCTATTGTTGTCAAAGTGTAAACAAACTTTATTTTAAATGTGTGCAATTGATTTTGTGAATTAAATTGCTAAAATATTTTTATAGTCGTGAAAGAAAAGTGGTTCACGATGTGTTAATGTATTTGTCGAAGAGAAATACTAAGGGTTCGGACAATATTTTCATTGAATAATGTTTCCGACAAAGGTTGTCAAATTGACTGACATGTTTATCGTATAGTACAGTCCACTATGAAAATTAGCTGTAGTCTGTTTCAACTACCTATTTTAAAGTTTTTTGTCACTTTCTAAGTTTTGAATTTTATGGAATTGGGAAAGAAGTACCGAGTTTGAAGCGTTCATGAGCAGACATTGCAGTTGAATATTCATGTTCTGAATTTGATTATTGATGAATAATAAAATAAATCCTACTAGCTCGATTGATGGTTTCATTAAATTTATTTAAACCAGGTTATCTTTAATAATATTTTTCGTTAATTTGTGAAAATATCAAATTAGCCCGTAATCCTGAATCCTGATACATAAATTTAGCCTATTAATTTAACACATGTACTTACGACTGTACTCAGTGTTGCACTATCAAATGCAATTGAAGCGCCTCTGTGCCAGGGTTTTTATGTTCCTGGTCAGGCTATACTTTAAGTAACTAATTTTATTATGCATCATACTTTTAACTTATCACTTCATTCAGAACTAGAAAACGATTCTAAGAACTCCACTTGCATTTCTTGTTCTTCAATAGACAGATGATCAAGATAAAGAGGTATTGTAAATAAATTGCTCTTCCAGCATTTCAATGGAGAAGTTCCTGATGTTAAAAACATTATATTTCTCTGAATGGGATTAAAATATATACCAAAACTAAAAAGACGGTGAAGTTTTTTTTGAAATCGATCAAGAAATGTCTGAGAAATAAATTATTTAAATTACCTACATATTTTCGCGTGGAACTGAAACATAGGCGGTGCCGTTCTTTTTGTATAATATGGCCAGGTCTGGGATATTTAAAAAAAAAGTTACAAAATTTTACTAAGAAGGAATCTTGAGTGACCCTAGCTGAAAAATTAAAAACTGCTAGATTTAAAAAAAATGAACCTGTCAACAGCACTGGCTGGATCAGGGGTGATTTACTGTTTGTACTCCGAATGACTGTCGTGAATACACCGATCAAAATGGCGTGAATAGTTATGCGCAATTTTAGGGCTATGTAACTTATTTATTTGTAGAGATATTTTCATGATTATTTCACAATTATTATTAGTTTTAAACTATTTTTTTTTAATCATTGGACATTTTACACTACGCTTCTAGTCCCAAACTAAGCAAAGCTTGTACTATGGGTACTAGACAACGGATATAAACATACTTAAATACTTTTTTTTTGTAAATACATACATATTATACATAGAAAACACCCAGTCCAATACAAACAAATATGTTCATGCACACAAATGTTTGTACTGTACGGGAACCGAACCCGCAACCTCTGAAATAGTAGTCCGTTTCGAACCACTACACCAAACGGCCGACGAATGTATCAAAACATTTCAGTCCAACTTACTGTCAACTCGACGACGCGCTTTAGAATCAAAGATTGACTTTGAATTATGCCTTATTTTACAATTCACATTGAAAACAATATGCCTTGCTTGAACTTTTTCGACTTTTTCACAAAAATAACAAATAGTCAAGAAGAGATTACAAAAATTTTGCAGCGGCTGACAGATTTCATAATTTTCTTTGACAGGTGACAATTAAACCATAGACAATTGCCATATGAAAAACACACTTTTCCAATATTTTTGTTTGCCATGAGATTCTGGTACACCTATACCAATATTTTTGTTTGCCATGAGATTCTGGTACACCTATATGTACTTACTAGCTTTTGCCCGCGGCTTCACCCGAGTTAAATTCAAGCCGAGCGGCGACGGGGACCGCACCCGCGTTTCCCGGATAACGAGTTAGCCAGTCTGACCCCTTCACCGTTCAGCTATCGTGGCTGTTTTGTTTGTAAAATAAATTGAAGCTAGATAAGATGTAAGTAATAAGC